GGAGGAACGGGCAAGAGGAATAAGACACCACATCTGGGCGTCCGGCTGAGATCTCAAACCCAGAAGGTCAACCTCTGGGATGTTTACGATGTCACCTGCATCCAGGGACATCAGATGGATGCCATGATGAACTGCAGAACTCACCTGGGGATGAAGATGGGAAAATGCATGGTTACACCCTTATGGAATCTTAATCTGAAAATAGGGCTGATGAGTCTATAAATGCCTCGAACCATCTTGGTGTTAAAGGGCAGCTTGAACCTCCTGTGGCCAAAAAAAAAAAACCAAACCAAAACCTTTTTTACCTGACCCCAGGGACATGCATCATTGAAATCAAACCTGGATCCCACTGAAAAGTTTTACTGATGACTCTTTGGTTTTAAGAAGGCTGATAAAATTTGGGATGGGTCTTGTCTAATCGTTGTTATGTTGTATTTTTGTGTTTATTCCACAAACCCTTTCCAAATGGACCAAATGGACTGGAGCACTAAATATTTTGACTACAATTTAATGTTATTTGGAAATACAGTGAATTATACCTTTTTTTTCCCCCCACCCATTGGAGGTGCAGGGAATTGCTAAGACACCACAGTTAGTGGTGTTTTTTCTGCAGTGATATTTTTCTTTACATTCCAGGAACAGTTCTTTCTGGGAAGGGATTGGTGTCAGTGGCCAGCATTATCTTTTTAATATTAGCTTCTGAGTGGCAGCACGGGACATGGCCAAAGGCCCCTTGGTTCCCAAGCCAGTGTCTCTCTTGTAAACAGAATCCTGAAGCCTGAGAGAAATGCTTGACGGTCCTGTTATGATGCTGAGGGAGAAAAAAAAAAAAAAAAAAAAAAAAAAGCAATGCAGATGAGGTAAGAAAAACAAAACTCTGACCTGGCTTTCCTCGAGGACATTTTGGACCAGTGCAATTAGCCAGCGGCCCAACAGCATTTACGTGTCCAAAGGAATAGTCTACCCCATCACCCCACCAGCCCCCTGGCTGCTTTTTTTTTTTTTCCTTCGCGGCTATTAAGGAGTTAGACCTCTTAACCGCTTTAGCGGAACACTGAGGACGAAAACTTGGATGTTTACCAAGCCAGCAATTACGAGGCAATCGGGCATCCACTCCATCATCATTGGAAGCAGCACGTAACAAGCATCACCAGCCCAGTACATCGCTGCCTCTGGACCGCTTATTTATCACCAGGTCAGGATGAGTGAAATCCCATCACGGTTATCCGTCAGCCTGGAGGTGGTCCTAACAGCCCTCTGCACGGAGCGGACATTACGGCCGCGGAAAATGTAACGTCTGCCGTCATCTCCGCAGAGAAATATTTTCCTTTCAAATTGTGGGAAAGCAATTTGGATCCTAATGGAGCTGGCGTGATGGGGGATGTTTGAAAACAATGTAATTATCGTCTTTAAGAGCTGGGAGCCCATGCTCGCTCGCGTGTGTGAATGAAAAATCAATTCTTTTTTTTTTCTGGTGGATGGTCTCTGCTGACATAAATTCTAAAGGGAAACAAGAGAGTTTTCAGATCGGCGTATGGCTGGAGTTGCAGCAGACACACGCCGCTTGGGGGAATGCTGGTCTTTGTCTAGATAAAGCCTGAGTTTTGGGGGGAATCAGCGAGGTCCCCACGGAGCTGCAGGAATTACCATTTTCCCCAGCAGAGCAAACCTTGGGAGAGCTGGTGTGGGTTTCCTGTGAATTGTGTAGCCCTGCCGGGGCCTCACGGTTTACGGGGTTTCGGCATAATCTCGTCACCTGCAGCACGTGGTGGCAGTTACTCTAAACTAGAGCAGGGAGCTGCCAGAACAGCCTTCCCGGAGGAAGGGAGCAAGTGGTGGACTTGAGGTGAACAGCAAACACCTCGGGTGACAAAGAACCCACTCTGAGGTCACACATGTTGAGGGGAGCCCTGTGTGTGAGGTAATGTTCATGCCCCTTGGTATAAATTGGATCATTTCGTTTCTAAGCAAAGATGTACACAGTTTTCTTCATCGGAAAAAGTGACCAAAGACCTCTGAGTTGCATAAATAAAAATGATCAAATACCACCGAGCTGCATAAATAAAAACATCCAAAGACCTCTGAGTCGTATAGATAAAAATGTCCAAACACCTCTGAGTTTCATAAATAAAAATTATCAATTTATGCTAATGTATAGCACAGGGAACTATATGCAGTCTCCTGTAATAGACCATAATGGAAAAGAATGTGAAAAACAATAGATATGTGTATGTATAACTGAGTCACATTGCTGTGCAGCAGAAACTAACACAACACTGTAAATCAGCCATACTTCAATTAAATTCATATTTCAATTTAAAACTTCTCAAATATCACTGAGTTGCATATGGATAAAAATGTCCAGATACCTCTGAGTTGCGTGGCTGAAGCATTTTATCCTGTTCTGTCTTGCACTGCTGATTGTTCAGCATGAAATTAGTCTCACGTAAGTTACATGTATACATATGTATATATCTATACGTATGTATCTATGTAGCTTCTCTCTTCCTTTTAAAAAGTTGACGTGACGAACGTAAGGTAGACAGCTAGTGGGAAGCAGCCGCATAGCGCAGGGAGATGAGCTCGGTGCTCTGTGACCGCCTGGAGGGGTGGGATAGGGAGGGTGGGAGAGAGGGAGGCACAGGGGGGAAGAGATGTTGGAACGTATGTATATGTATAACTGATTCACTTTGTTGTAAAGCAGAAACTAACACACCACTGTAGAGCGATTAGACCCCAATAAAGATGTTAAATAAAATAAAATAAAATAAATAAAAAGTTGAGGTGACATTTCCATAGTGGGAAATGAGCCGTTTCAAAGTAACAATTCAGAGGCATTTAGCACATTCACAATGTCCTGTAAGCAGCACCTCTATCTGGTTCTAAAACATTTCCATCCCCCCCAAGAGGAAACCCCGTCCTCATGAGCAGTCTCTCCCCCCTCCCAGCCCCTGGCACCACAACCCTACTTTATGTCTGTGGATCTGCCTGTTCTGGACGTTTCCTGTCAGTGGAATCACACTGTGTGTCCTTCTGTGCCTGCTTCTCTCACTGGGCATCATGTTCAAGGTCCAGCCACGTGGCAGCCTGTGTCAGAGCTTCGCTCCTTTTCATGGCTGAGTCACATTGCACTGTGTGCGTGGACCCCATCCACCTGCTGATGGGCATTGGGTTGGTTCTTCCTTTTCTCACCATCTCTACATACCCCAAACGTCTCTGACCACCTCTTCCTGGACACTCCAGAGCAAGAAAGTTGGGGGCATCTTGAGAAAATTCAAGGATGTTTATGCCTGACCCCAGAGGCTGTTTGGCTGTGAAAAACCCAGAGCCATAAAACATCTCAGGCACATTCAATATACTGTCCCACCTATTTCCTTTCAGGTCCCCGGACGTGCACGTGCTGTGAGGGCTCACGCTCTCCCTCTGATTCAAGCAGCCCCTCCTAACATCTGGCCGGCACAGGGCGGCCAGTTCTGCACAGAGGGTGCAGTGCAACTTATCGGGGGCAGAGATTCTGGGGGCTCCGATGCAGACCCTTCACCGTGACCCCAGAAGGTCTGAACGGAGGAACCCTAGAGAAGTGTCTGGTCGGGGGTGACTATGACGCGTCTTTCAAAACCACAGGGCCCAGGAGTCAGTCTGACTTACTTAGCAAAATGGAGCTCTCTTCTTGTGACCTCCTAATGAGTACGATGACAGCATTCCGTGTGTGTGTGCCTGACCTGCGTTATGGCCGCCAGACCCCGCTTGCACACCGAAACCCACCTCACGGTGAGGGAGGAACGCTCGCTTGTGTGTACAATGGGGCCTCTACGGGCCGGCGTCTCTATCCAGCAAAAAACAAAGGAGAGAAATGTAACAAATTACAGCTGAAGCTGATCACCGTCGTTGCCCCTGTTTTCAAATTATTATATTTCTGGGGAATTTCAGCCTGTTACATGAAAAGGAAGACAGTGGATCCGGGGAGCTTTGATAGTCAGGTTATGCTAATAATGGGGGCTCATGTAAAATGCATAAGGTGTATCTTAGTAAGGGGGACGATTGCTCATAATTACTCCGAATACCCTCATTCCGAACGGATTCATAAAGACCCCTTTACATCGCAGCCTAATTACTTATAGACAGTTGAGCACAAAATTACTTTCATCTGCTGGACCATGTGGAGGGAGAGAGATTAGAGCTGCGCCTTTCCACACAGCTGGCTGGCACGCCGGAAAAATCAGGCCTGTGTCGTGTGGGGCTGATTGCAAAGTGCGTTTTCTGATAATTAGGTCTATTAAAGACAGACGAGCACCGGCCCACGTTGGAAGCAAAGAAATGTATGTAGAATAGGCCCTGGCATCCCGAGTGGCCGCGTCAGGGCTGTGACGGACACGTGGGTGCCCCGTCCCACTGGTGACCGAGACGCTCTGATCCCGGCCAGGCGGGGACCCTCTTGGAGGCCCAGCCAGGGCCCCGGCCACCTACAGGAGACGTCCTCTTTGATCCTGTTGGTTTGTTCATTCTGGGCACTAGCGTCTTAATGGTGGCTTGGTATTTGTCTATGGCTTCCCTTTCAAGTGGCTGAGACAGCACCCACGTGGGAGAGAGAACTACCTGGGAGACTAGCCTCTGCAGGGTCACGTGAGAGGAAAGCTCCTCTCTGGGGAGCTGGGACAGCACACGGGGGCCTGAGCCACGAGTGAAGGGTCACGGGGTCTCTGGGACATCCCTGGATGTCGGATGTTTCGTGGAATCGAAGCCTCGTAGCCAGTGGGGAGTCGCGCCACGGCTGATGCACGGCGGAGGAAAGCAGGTGAAGCGAGATAACCCAGACTCATGGATACTGACCCGCAGAGGTGTACAAACCTGCTCGGTGTTCTGACTCTCCTAATACCTGGGCGTGCGGTGAGCTTGGTTCCGGGAGGGGGTGGGCCACCGATCAAGGTCGTTCCCCCTTCATTCGTTGGTGGACACAAAGCAGGTCTACGTGGGCAGTGTCCTCACAGCCTGGTGCTCACGTCTGTCCTTTGAGACCTTGCGAAGGGTGTCCACGTCATCCGAGCATGATCCTGGTCTATCCACGCCCTGCTGCTGCGCCTGCACCATCGTGGGGCCTCCTTGTTGGTCTTTAGTCCTGGCTCTGTTCCTGTTTCCAGGACTTTCCCAATTTGTCCAGCTATCCCTCCACGGCACCCACGCTGAAAGAAAGACCGCGCTGTGCCCCACAGGGTCCCTGGGACCCCTCCTCGGCCCTTCGGTAAGGTGCGTGCCTACCGTCCTCTGTGGCCCCGGGGCCCCTCACATTGCCAGGCCCCTCCCTGCGCTGCCCCACGGACAGCCGGCTTGTCGCTCTTCTCTCACCTCCAAAGCCCACAGGTGCGTGGAGAGCCCCTCCCAGCTGAAGTGTCTCCCTCGGGCGCTCCCCACTGGCCTCGTTCCCAAGTTCTGGATGTGTCCACGTGCTCCCCCGAGACACTGTCTGTCGTGTCCAGCTAGCCTTCTCAGTGCCCAGGGGGTAGTGGGCACTGAGTGAACAGCCTGGACGATTGTGGATCACCTGCTCCGCTTGAGCTCATAATCACCTCCCAGCACTTGGGAAGGCCCATCCCGGGGCACCCCAATGCCCAGACTCCACCCCACGTGGGCAGAGGACTCTGGGCTTTCAGAGAGACACCTCCAGCACACGCTGTCCTGGGTCCACGTTGGCTAGTGTCCGTGATGTTGGTATTTACGCCACTGGCTGGTGGCCAAGGGTCTGCCCGTCGGTGCTCACCAAGGGACTAGGAAGAGAGAGGAGACAGGGAGGGGTTCTCCCATGACGGGCTTGAGAAAACCCATCTTCCTGTCGCCATGGAAGCTAGCCTCCATCCTGAGCAGGCTCCCCGGGGGCGCTCTGTCTATCTGCTTCCCTCTCCCCTCTTGCTTGAGATTCGCCACCTTTAAACAAACGGATGCAGTTCAGAGAGTGCCAGAGCGGGAGGGGGCTTGCACATCTGTATATGCATTACACATTCTGCATCCCTACGAGGCGCTCCATTGATCGCTAATAATTTAATCCTCGTAACAGAGTAGAGAAGCCCATTATCCAGGAGTCAGCATGCAATCGATATATTTTGCAAAATAAAGAGTCTATTGGGTGCACAGTAATAAAGAAAAAGGAAGCAGACCCTGTGGGTTTAACTGAGTGCTTTTTACCCCCTTAGTAGCAAAGACTCATCTTAAAGTGGTTTCCCTGTTAATCCTCCACAGGGCGTGTCTCCGAGCCTGGAGACTGGCAAGGTAAATCGATGGCGGGGAAGACGGTTAAAAACCCCAACATGGACATGGAAGCCACAGAGTTTTATGCAAAAGATGCTCAAGTCGTGTGGAGATCCCTGAGACCTGGGGGTGCATCCAGGGGGCATTTGTGAAGTGAAATGCCCTGGACCAAATCCCAACTGGTGTTCACAAGAAAATCAAATCAAGGACCCCCC